CTCACCCTGGGTACATACTCACCCTGGGTATACCCTCACCCTGGGTACATACTCACCCTGGGTATACACTCACCCTGGGTACATACTCACCCTGGGTATACCCTCACTCTGGGTATACCCTCACTCTGGGTATACCCTCACCCTGGGTACATGTTCACCCTGGGTATACCCTCACTCTGGGTACATATTCACCCTGGGTATACCCTCACTCTGGGTACATACTCACCCTGGGCATACACTCACCTCACTTACAAATTCACGCTGGGTATATACTCACCCTGGATATATACTCACCCTGGGTACATATTCACCCTGGGTATACACTCACCCTGGGTATACACTCACCCTGGGTACATATTCACCCCGGGTATACACTCACCCTGGGTATACACTCACCCTGGGTATATATTCACCCTGCGTATACACTCACCCTGGGTACATATTCACCCTGGGTATATATTCACCCTGGGTATACACTCACCCTGGGTACATATTCACCCTGGGTACATATTCACCCTGGGTACATATTCAGCCTGGGTATACATTTAAACTGGGTTCAAATTCACCCTAGGTGCATATTCACTCTGGGTATACACTCACCCTGGGTATATACTCACCCTGGGTACATATTCACCCCGGGTGTATACTCACCCTGGATATACACTCACCCTGGGTATACACTCACCGTGGGTATACACTCACCCTGGGTACATATTCACCCTGGGTATATACTCACCGTGGGTATACACTCACCGTGGGTATACACTCACCCTGGGTACATATTCACCCTGGGTATACCCTCACCCTGGGTACATACTCACCCTGAGTATACCCTCACTCTGGGGACATATTCACCCTGGGTATATATTGACCTGGATGCTAACTGCGGGGCAATTAATGCATGCGTAAGCACCCTATCTTGCCCCAACTCCCTCTGAGGAGAGTGGGAAGCCTCCAGTTTGGTGATGGGGTGATGATAGGATCTGATCTCACAGGGTTTCACTGCCCATTCCAGGGACTTCAGAGTGAGCGGGGGTGCTGCCCCATGTCCTTTCTTCTGACGGCCCGAACACCCCCCACCCCAGCCTCAGCTATTACCCATGTGCTTCCTTCCCCCACCACCCCTTGCCTTGGCTGAAGCACTGTAGAACTGCAATCTTTTCCTGTGTACTATTCTGAAGTTCAGTAAAAATGTAGACTCCTGTCAGCGTGCGTGGCTGATGGTATGAGATATGAAAAAACATCATTGCTTACAGTTTCCCATTAATCTTACATCAAGTGATGTGCAATAATTTGTGAAGTGCAGATACGAAATGATATTACTTGCGCTCAGTAAACCAATGATGGCCTTGAGAAAACTTTTGGGTGCATCATTTTACTCCCCTAGGTATCTTTATTGGGCAGTGTCCTGGGAAATGGAGTTTGAAGGATAGAGAATGTTATCACTTTGTATTGAATCGGTCTGACCTGAACAAAACAGAGGAATTCAACAATGGGACACAGGTATGACTGTGCTAACACACAAGGGAAATGGGAATGTGGTTTCATGGGGGTCTGGATTTGTGCTTTATTTTTCACTCAGAGATTCTGAGTTTCTGTGGAACTGCATATTATAGTGTGAAGTTACAGATGGTGATGGTATAGGCTCCACAATTTCTCTCAATCATGTAGCTGACCAGGAAGCTCTCCCACTCTCACTGTTTGCCATCATCATGGTCCTGGGCCATGATCTGTTTGATTGGGTTATCAATGCCATCACTGTGGACTGAGTCTTCAATGCTGAGCTCCTGGTCCAGAAGCAGGTACACTGCCTGCTACGTCATAAGCCCTCCTGGGGAATACTTCACACCTTCAATTAGCAATTCTAGTCACTGCACACATTGCAATAGTTAAAAATCAACAAATCCCTGCAATGTGGAAGCAGCCAATCAGCCCATTGTGTCCACACCAACCCTCTGAAGGGCATCTCACCCAGACCTAACCCCATCCCTGTAACCCTGCATTTCTCATGAACAATCCACCTACCCTACATATCTTTAGACTGTGGGAGGAAACCAGAGCACCCGGAGGAAACACAAGCAGACACAGGAGAAGGTGCAAACTCTACACAGACAGTCGCCTGAGGGTGGAATCGAACCCAGGTCCCTGGTACTGTGAGGCAGCAGTGCTAACCACTAAGCCACCATGCCACCCCAATGTGGCACACCCCCTCCCCTAACCAGCTAACCCCTGTCCCTGATGGCCCACTTTTAGGAAGGTGGAGCAGCCCCTTCCACAATGGCCCATCTTGATGGGGTTTTTTTCCCAGGTGAATACACCAGAACTCTTCAACATATTTTGGCTCCTTCTTGACTTCTCCAATGCTGTCAGCCTTGGATAAAGAGGCAGAAAGGCCTTTCCCCTTGATGGAGGGATCAATGACCAGGGGTATAGGTTGAAGGTAAGGGGCAGGAAGTTTCGAGGGGATATGAGGAATAATATTTTCACCCAGAGGGTGGTGGGAATCTGGAAATCACTGCCTGTAAGGGTGGGAGAGGCAGAAACCTCATCACATTAAAGAAGTATTTAGATGTGCACTTGCAATGCCAGGGTATAGAAGGCTATGGGCCAAGCACTGGGAAATGGGATTAGAATAGTTAACAGCTTGATTTTGACCAGTTTACACAATGTGCCTAAGGGCCTTATCCTGTGCTGGACACCTCTATGACACTATGTCTGAGCTTGTAAAATCCAGTGAACCAACCTGCTTTATAGATAGTAACTATGCACTTATTCCCTTCACAGTCGGCAGAGGCCCATTTTGAAATCCAGTGTGAGTCGACATCGGTTAACAACACAGCCACACAAGGTAACTAATGATTTTGCTTTCAGTCATTGTGGTTTATTTCAAATAACTCCTTTCTTAATGGATAGCAGTATTTTAGTTAGGGCATAAGATAACAAGGTGTGGAACTGGATGAACGCAGCAGGCCAGGCAGCATCATAGGAGCAGGAAAGCTGACGTTTCGGATCTGGACACTTCTTCAGCTTTCCTGCTCCTATGATGCTGCCTGGCCTGCTGTGTTCCTCCAGCTCCACATCTTGTTATCTCAGACTCCAGCATCGGCAGCTTCGACTATCTCTTTTAGTTCGGGCAGTTGTTCAGAGACAAAATGGTGTTTAGAGGCAGTGTTACCATTCAATAAAAAATGTTGTTAATGCGAAACAAAACAAAAATTGCTGAGTAGTTCAAATCAGGTCAATTTTGCATCGACAAGGGCAGCAGATACATTGGGACACCGCCCCCTGCAAGTTCCCCTCCAAGCCACTCACCATCCTGGCTTGGAAATATATTGCCGTTCCTTCACGGTCGCTGGGTCAAAATCCTGGAATTCCTGTCCCTAATAGCATTGTGGGTCAACCCACAGCACAATGGACTGCAGTGGCTCAAGAAGGCAGCTCACCACCACCTTCTCAAGGGGCAACTAGGGACGGGCAATAAATGCTGGCCCAGCCAGAGCCACCCACATCCCACAAATGAATTTAAAGAAAACAGTCTGAAACACAGAAATTGCTGGAGAAACTCAGCAGGTCTGGCAGCATCTGGGCGGAGAGAAGCAGACTTAACGTTTCAAGTCTGATATGATTCTTCTTCAGAAATGTTAACTGTTTTTCTCTGCATAGGCACTACCAGACCTGCTGAGTTTCTCCAGTATTCTCTTTACTTGTTTCAGCTTTCCAGCACCTGCAGTATTTTTCCTTAACTCGATTTTGCATGTCCCCGGTAGAAAGACAAGTTAATATTTTGCATGGGACATTTTTTTAAACATGTCTAACTGCAGTCACCTATCTCATCTCAGACACTGATCAATTTGCCATGCCTTTGGAGTATTTTCTGGGTCTCTTTTTAGAACGCTCCTAACCCTTAGTGAGTACATTGATTTTATCTGGTTCTGTTCCAGTGAAGTGTTATATGAATGCTGTTAGTCCTGCCTCCTGGTGGTTTATATTCTGGTCCACTTTGATCAACTCAAGAGGGATGAGACTTTTATTTCATTTGTCCACGGGGATATGCAGTGTCAGTGGTTTAGCAGCAATAATTACACTTCCCTAATTGCCCTTGAGAAGGAGATGGTGAGTGGTCTCCTTGAACTGCTCGAGTCCTGGGGTAATTGGGAGGGAGGAGGGTATTGCTATGATGTTGGGTAGATGGACCACCAGTGCTGTTGGGAAGGTTCACTCAAACAGAAGCTTTACAACATGACAGTGAACTGAGAAACATTGGCAAATGTTACCATCTATCAGCGCAATGAGACTGATGGTGCCACACGACATGAAATGCCAGTGCGGCACTGCACACCACGTATCCCACTGTGATAGACGGATTTGCATTTAGCCTTGCCCCAAAAGAAGATCATTTTGCCAACGCTTTTATCCTGCATTCAACAGGACAAATGCAAGAATGGCAAATTTCAAATGATCACAACAGTTTCTACAACAGGAGGAGATGGTTCAATTAATGGTAATGTCACTAATGCAGTAATCCAGGGGCTCAGTGTAATGTTCTGGGGACATGAAAGGCATAGAGGCATACAGCTGTACAGCACGGAAACAGACCCTTCGGTCCAACTCATCCACGCCAACCAGATATCCTATATAAATCTAGTCCCATTTGCCAGCATTTGGCCCATATCCCCTTAAACTCTTTCTATCCATGTACCCATCCAGATGATTTTTAAATGTTGTAATTGTACCAGCCTCCACCACTTCCTCTGGCAGCTTGTTCCATACACGCACCGCTCTCTGCGTGAAAAAGTTGCCCATTAAGTCCCTTTATAATCTTTCCCCTCTCACCTTAAACCTATGCCCTGTAGATTTGGACTCCAGCACCCAGGGGAAAAGACCTACGCTATCCACCCTGTCCATGCCCCACATGATTTTATAAACCTCTATAAGGTCACTCTTCAGCCTCCGATGTTCCAAGTAAAATAGCCCCAGCCTATTCAGCCTCTTCCGTATAGCTCAAACCCTCCAACCCTGGCAACATCCTTGTAAGTCTTTCCTGAGCCCATTCAAATTTCACAACATCCTTCCTACAGCAGGGAGACCAGAATTGCACGCAATACTCCAAAATGAGTTTAAATCCCATCACCGCAGGTGATGTAAAGAAAATTTAATTTATAGATCTGGAATGTAAAGCTATCAAAGACAAAAGTAGAAGTTGCTGGAAAAGCTCAGCAGGTCTCAGAGGAAGGGTCACTCGAACCAAAACGTTATCTCCACTGATGCTGCTAGACCTGCTGAGCTTTTCCAGAAATTTCTGTTTTTGTCTCTGATTTACAGAATCTGCAGTTCTTTCAGTTTTTATGTAAATCCAACACTGATTGCTGGAAAATCCCATCTCGTTCATTGATGTCCTTACCTGGTCTGGCCTCATGGGACTCCAGACTCGGAGCTAGATTGCCTTTGAAATAGTCCAGCATGTCATTCATATGGGCAACATATGCTGGTCTTAGAATCTGGGAATCTTCAGAACAGAAGGAGGCCATTCCACCCATCATGTCTGTACCAGCTCCCAGCCCTATATCCACGGCCCTCTAACTTCATCACTTTCAAGTATATATCCAGCTCTCTTTTGAAACCTCCCATGGAATCTGCCTTCACCACTCTCCCAGGCAGCGCATTCCAAATCCTAACAACACTCCTAGTAAAGAAGTTTCTCCTCATCTCACTCCTAGCTCTCTTACTGACAACCTTGACGTTGTGACCCTTAGCCACTGACATACTGACCTTGTTGATGTCATCTGGAAGAATTAAGAAACAGGGTCCATAGCTTCCCATTGTTTTCTCCATGGCAATGACACTCAGAGTTAACCAATCAACACCCTTTTCTCCTGTAGTATAAATTATTGCGATGGCTTGAAATTTGGCATTCTTGTGCTGGGTTCTGATGAGTGCCAGACCAGGAGCAATGGCGGAACAGGCTTGAAGGGCTGAATGGCCTACTTGTGTTCCTATTTTTGTTGTTTATTTCTCCTAAGGTCCCTCCCTTCAGCCTGATTCAAACCCGCATTTAACCAAATCTTCCTGATTTCACAGACCGCGTATAGTCATAGAAGTGCAGCACTTGTCACAGTGCTAAGATCAGCAGCTAGTCTGGGTCAATCATTTTAGCCGAGAGGAGATTCAGGGCTGACAGGATGGGGTTTGATCAGATTATGACGGAGTTGGACAGTGTAGATGAGGAGAGAATATTTCCATTTATCATAACATCTCAGACATAAATACAAGAATTTTGCTAATGTTAATTAAAAACCAAAAGATGTGCGGATGTTGTAAATCAGAGACAAAAACAGAACTTGCTGGAGAAGATCAGCAAGTCTGGCAGCATCTGTGAAGAGAAATCAGAGTTAATGTTTCGGGTCCAGTGACCCTTCCTCAGATGTGGGGATTGTGCAGTTCTGAGGAAGGGTTGCTGGACCCAAAACATTAACTCTGATTTCTTTTCACAGATGCTGCCAGACCTGCTGAGCTTTTCCAGCAACTTCTGTTTTGCTTACTAATGTTATGGACCAGAGCAGATCCCCCTCAAAATATATTAAGAAGGTAGCCTAGACAGTAAAATTTTCTTGTCCTAAAGGCAAACATGAGGTGCTGTGTTCCAGATACAAATCATTTCATCAAACTACTTGACGCCAAACAAAACACAATTTATTCAAACACTGCAGTTAAGATACTACAAAAGAAAAAGAAACTTGGAATAACTTAACTCTATTGGAAACTTAACAGAATAATAGATTGTTTTACTACTCAACAGTAACTGTTGCAATGTAGTAACGTTCTATAAATACACCCATGGTGAAAAAGCACATTCAGAAAATAGATTGTCTCGCATGCAGTTATAGAATCATAGAGTTCTTACAGCATGGAAATTGACTCTTCAGTCTAACAAGTCCATGTCAAGCATAATCCTAAACTAAACTAGTCTCACCCGCCTGCTCCTGGCCCATATCCCTTCAAACCTTTCCTATTCACATTCTTATCCAAATGTATTTCAAATGTTGTAACTGTACCTGCATCCATCACTTCCTCAGGAAGTTTGTTCCACACACGAACCACCCTCTGTGTAAAAAATTTGCCCCTCATGTCTTTTTTAAATCTTTCTCCTCTCACCTTAAAAATGTGTCCCTTTGTCTTGAAATCCCCCAATCTAGGGAAAAGCCAACTACCATTAACTCTATTTATACCCTTCATTATTTTATAAATTTCTATAAAGTCGCCTCTCAACCTGTTATGCTCCAGTGAAAAAAGTCCAGCCTATCCAGCCTTTATAACTCAAATCTTCCATATCCAGCAACATCCTGGTAAATGTCCCCTGAACCTTCTGCAGCTTAATAACATCCTTCTTACAACTGGGTGACCAGAACTGGACACAGTACTCCAGAAGAGGCCTCACTATTGTCTTGTATAATCTCAACATGACTTCCCAACTCCGGTACTCAAAAGACTGAGCAATGAAGGCAAGCATGTTAAATGCCTTTTTACCACCCTGTCTGTATGTGATGCAAACTTCAAAGAATTATGTACCTGAACCCCTAGGTCCCTCTATTCTCAACACTACCCAAGGCCCTACTATTAATTGTATAAGCCCTACCCTTGTTTGTTGTACCAAAATGCAATACCTCGTATTTATCCAGATTGAACTCCATCTGCCATTTTTTAGCTCATTGACCCATTTGATCAAGATCCCTTTGTAATCTTAGAAAACCTTCTTCACTGTCTACTACACCACCAATTTTGGAGTCATCTGCAAACTTACTAACCATGCCTTCTATATTCTCATCCAAATCATTTATATAAATGACAAACAAAAGAGGGCCCAGAACCGATCCCTGTGGAACACTGCTGGTCACAGGCCTCCAGTCCGAAAAGCAACCCTCCACCATTACCCTCTGTCTCCTGCTGTTAAGCCAATTATGTATCCAATTGGCAAGCCCACCCTGAATCCCATGTGTCCTAACTTCACTAATTAGTCTACCATGTGGAACCTTGTCAAAGGCTTTACTAAAATCCAAATAAACAACATCTACTGCTCTGCCCTCATCAACCTTTCTGGTAACTTTCTCAAAAAACTCAATCAAGTTTATGATTTGCAATCCAATCCAAGAGGAAAGAACATCAAAAGACAATTCTGAGAGAAAACTCAGAGAGACAGAGAGAGAGAGAGAGAGAGCAGCCAGGAGAGATTCACTACCTTCCAATCCTGCTAAGACTCCAGCAACAACTGCTGAAAGCTAAACTAAAAATCCTACTTCTGTGGTTCGAAGCCTGACCACATCCACTCAGGCTGCTTCTATTGTTCTAACTTCTAAAACAAAAACACCCCAAGGCCTCATAAGTAGTTTATCTTCTCATTGACTGCTCTTCACCTATCCCCGAGTCTCTCTCTCTAAAAAACCCAGTCAAAACACACCCCTTAAAGCCACATTAACATCACGCTAACAAGCCCAATAGGAAAATAAGGAGGGATATCTTTATCCAGAGAGTGGGTTTACTGAGGAAGATGGCAAATTACAGGCAGTGCCCAGGTTGTGAATCTATTCTGGATTCTGTTCCCAAATCGATTTATACACAAGGTTGAAAAGCAATGCAGGACAATATAAAGGAGCCATTCATTAAGTACAGGAATATTTGTATGTTGGGTCTTTAAAATTACACCCCTGTATGGAGTCACTTTCGTAAGTACGTGTGTTCATAAGTCAGACTTTGGTAAACTGGGGACTACCCTCTCACCCCTGTAACTCAGACGTTTCTGACAAGAATTTAGACAAATGCATGAGAGAGAAAGGAATAGAAAGATGTTGTCAAAGACTGAGGGTTTGGGGAAGAGATGGAACTGAGGAGATTGGTGTGAAATAACAGATTAATTGAGCCTGTTTCGGTGCTGTATGTTCTGTGCAATTCAATGTAATCTGTACACAGTAAGATCCTATATGCTTACAGGTAAGAGTAATAAGTTTCGCCCAGGGCAACTGTATTGGAGATGAGGAAGTGGTGTCAATGTAGCTGAAACATTTAAAAGGGGCATATTGCTTCTGCTTCCAGGTGCCTGTTATTCCATAAATCAATTGTTTCTGAGGGGTCTGGTTTGCCATGCAATGGATCCTTAACCAATGTGCGGAAGATTGTGAGTGGAACAAACAGATGATATGCTGAAATATGTTACAAGGATTTTAAAGACAAAAGCAGCTGATTTGCTGGCCCGGTTGAACCTGTGACTGAGGGAGATGATGCATAATGAAGCTGTCAGTCCTCCAGCTGGGATTTACTTATCTTGACCAAACTTCTGAATGTCTACACTTCCAGTTCACTTTTCACATCACATAAACAAGCCAATGCTGTGATAACTCCTAACGTAGCCTTAGCCAGGCCCATTAAACTCCCTTCCCTTTATGTCCAATTGGCAAAGCGTGGAGTGAAGGGTCATTGTCAAACCTCTTTTGTAGCCAAGACCATGAAAGAGAGACCTTATTCTTGCTTGAGTTGTTCTTGCTGTTTTTCTGCATGTGTGGAAGGGAATGGATGGGTTGGGTGTGTGAGGAGTGTGGCCAGAGAGGACTGGGAAGGTCATGGGTCACAGCTGAATTTGCTAAAACTCAGAGGGCCAAAGGATTTTGTAAGCACAGGAAATCTGTGGGGATTTTTACCTCTGGATGAAACACAAGTCAAAATGTCAAAATATCACCTGTTCACACTGGGGCAGAGCTGGAGGGGAGAGGGTCAGCTTAAAGCTCAACAGTTTAGGTCAGATCTTTCGCCTGGTTATGGAATCTAGAATCAGAGGGACATGTTTAGAAATCAGGGGAATGTCCGTTAGGTCCGAGAAGAGGAGAAATGATTTTACTCAGAGGGTTGTGATCTTTTGGAATTCTTTGGGGAAGCTCAGTCTTTGAGCGTGTTTAAGGTAGAGATTGATAGATTTCTGATTCCTGGTGATGTAAAGGGTTATGGGGATGGGTGGGGATCAGGAAAAAGTCATAGAGCTGTACAGCATGGAAACAGACCCTTTGGTCCAACTCGTCCATGCCGACCAGGTATCCTAAATTAATCCAGTTCCATTTGCCAGCATTTGGTCCATATCCCTCTAACCCCTTCCTATTCATGTACCCATCCAGTGCTTGAACAGTCGTGATCGTAATGAATCATGGGTTAGGCTCAATGGACTGAATGGCCTAATCCTGTCCCTCTGTTTCTACGTAATTCAAGACAAACACATTCTGAAACTAAACTTGTAACTTACCCTTTTTCTTTAAAATGCTGGACTAGTCTCAGTCTGAAGGGAGGTAGGTGAGAAGCTGGAGGGTGGATAGATAGAATAACCCACCATCCAGCGAAGGGGGACAGAAACTGAGCTGGGACATCTGCTCCTTATTACTATCCAAGATAACAAGGTGTAGAGCTGGATGAACACAGCAGGCCAAGCAGCATCATAGGAGCAGGAAGGCTGACGTTTTGGGCCTAGACCCTTC